CACACACACACACACACACACACACACACACACACACACACACACACGACAAGTTGCAGCCGCTGACCTTGTTTTCAGTGACCAAGAACTCTGCTCCCATGGTAATTCTGATGCAGGGTTTCCCTCCGTCTTTCTTCACATAGTTTCCTGCACCCATATATTAAAAAAAACAAAAAACAACAACATAGTCAAGCATGCAAAATTATAATGCATGCCACTTTCAAATATTTCAGTTAGTCACCTTTAAAGCCATCACATCTGCATCTTTCTCTGAATAGTAGTCAACAAATGAACTGTAGGCCATCTGTTTTGCACACTCATGTTTCCCAAATTCTTCACGTATGCACAGTGAACTATGAATCAATATTGCTTGCAATTCTTAGCCTTCAAAATATGAAATTAATCAGCATGACAGACGATCATTTGTGTCAGGTTTAAAGGTTATTTTATCTTCCTTACGTCCCTCTACCTCTTGTCCCATTACACCAGCATCTCTTCATCTGCTGTAAATGAACAGGGGATTTGGACCATGCATATACATGGAATAAAACAGGTGTACCTGTTTGAGGAGTGGCCTCAGATGGCTGCAGGACCGGCCGGTAGATCTGACCCTTGGAGTGAAGCTCAGACTCCAAAGCAGGCTGGATGGAGCCATTAGTGCTCTGAGAGTGGACACCTGGTAGAAGATCACACCTGTTATTTTCATTGTCTGGTCATACCCTGTTTTTTTTTCCCTCCTTATCCCTTGCATAAAGTTGTATATCATTTAGAAATGAATAAATAACCAGTGGAAGTCTTCGCAAAATACAACACAGAACCCTCTTTCAGTAAGTATTTACCTGAAAAAGGGGGAAAAAAAGAAAGAAACTATGGTCAAATGCATTAAGGGGGGAGTGCAGTAGGTCCACTATCTTGAATGCCCTTCACCCATTAACTCCAGTCCAACACAGCTACTTCTTTATTAACCCAGAGAACCAGAAACGATTGAGCACTCCAGTTATTTGGAACAGTCTGAACCAGTATAGGAGCACAAGTTGGATGAGTTGGAATACTGTTAGTCATGATAATAAGTGGAGCAGTATGGCTCATTTTAAAAGCACAGCTGCAAAGTGCTTTACTGTTCGGATAAAACTTACATTAAAGAAGTCAACATACACTATACACACACAAACATGCTTTCAAACATACAGTCATCCATTCATTTGTACTGTGCACATATACTTCTATAGAAAGGTGTGAACACATAATAAGGAAAAGCTAACTTGTAAAAATAAGTTTTCAGCTGCCATTTAAAACTGACTAGCCGACAATGGCTGTTCCAAAGTTTAGTAGGTACAACTGCAAAAGCGTGGCCACCCGTGTATTTAAAATAAATGATCGGAGAGGCCGACAAGGTCTGTGGCAGATGCAGGAGTGACAGATGCAGGAGCCTGTCCATGTAGGTCTTACATGGACAAAAAACCCATCAGCTGATGGGTTTTTTTAATGTTACAGCCAGGGGAGGTTTGAAGCTCTAATTCTTGAGTCAGCAGAGCCTTTTACACACTGCATGCCTTAGCGCTCAGCAGCTCTGTGGTTTGTCACTTTACAGCCAAGTTGCTTTGGCTCCCAAACATTCTTAATATTATTATTTAGCATTTTTGGTCTTCATTAATTTCTGAAGTGTTATGCAGGTAAGTGGGGGGAAAAGGCTGTCTTAATGAGTGTGGTCAACAGTAAAAAAAAATTAAAAGTCAAGTAATTTTAAATGAGTCAACAAAAACAGCATTTCAGAAGGTGCAGAATTTAATGACACAGATAATAGTGCATGCAGCATGAGAAGTACTTCTGCTCAGGTCATACCACTCTTTTTTGCTAAAACCACAGAGTGACAAGCGCGACATCTTTGGGACAGCTAAAGACCACTGTGTGGGAGAGGAAACCAGCGCAGTCTCATATATGACGTTTACACCACTACACTCTTGCAACGAAATATTACCATTTAAACAGAAGTGGAAACAGCAGTATCAAAAAGAGTGAGAGTAAAACAATTGAAAATGGAAGAACTTTGGTTTTGACATGTAAATAAAAAACAATCCTGTCAAGTGAGTTTAAGGTCATCTGTCTGTGGATGGTTGAACTCCACTTGAATGCTATTAGACTTACCTGGAATGACAGCAGCCAGGAAGAAAAGATACCATCCACCTCGGTGGCCTTTTAGCATCGCAGTTAGAAGACAAAAGAGAATAGCCATGCCACTGGATCAGAAGTGCAGCAGCTGTGCCTTGATGTCTAATTGTGAAACTGTTGAACACCTAACACCTAAATGAAGGGTGCAAAGGAAGTGAAGTGACAAAGGGGGTGGGGCAGAGACCGCTGCCTCACTCAGCATTGACACATCTGAAACTTTTGTTTTAAAAAGACAAGTTTTAAAGCCTTCCAGCTGTTAATGCAAGTACCTTTGTGTTTAGTGTTCAGAGAAATCAGGTTTTAAATTCTATGAAAGTGTTCTGTTCAATGAATTCCTAGTTTTTAGGAAAAATATTACTGGTCTAGTGAAAAAGAAAAAGATTACAATTCCCAGTCACATATTAAAGGGAAAAAAATGAACCAAGAGAGCAGAAACTCTTTTAAATGTCATAATCATTCTGTTTCCCGCTATTAATTTACATGGCACAGGCTGGCACTAAAGTGTCAGTTACAGGAAAAGGGTCAGGCAACACATGAGCATGCTCACAGGGTAGAGCTGCTCCCCTTAATCACACTTGACATGTATAACTTTTCTTTCTAACAATGACTGCTTCAACAGTGCCACCAATATTTATATCATTAGGCTCATACCTTATAGCTCAATTTACTTTAAGGAGATAGGATTCAGCTGTAGGTGATTGGGGTTGAAAGACTATTTAAACAAGAACACAGAACGACTAAAAAAAAATTCATCAGACATTAGTTATGTAACCAGGTTTTTGCATATATTTTGTCTTAGAGCATTATCCAGCATGTCTATGTACATGGCATCACAAAAATGCAATAGGATCTGGATATACTGGGTCCTAGTTCAAGCCAATTCAATAAGTCGAGACAAATTCTTAAAGAGTTGGGAGTCGATCAAATAAATAAATCATCTTGATGTCTCTGGTAAAGCAGGAAAAATAAATGTCCTGTGGAATATTCCGAATTTTAGCCTGGGAGTCAGATGATGTTTCACTTCTCATCCAGAAAGTTTCTTCAGTTCTAAAACTAAAAAGTGAAGAGCCCCAGGTATTTAATCCCTAGTGGGGATTGTCCCTTAAAAGGGCTGTTAACCCATTATTAATCATGTGCCTCATTACATGAGCCAAGGTGTGAAAAAAGGTCGTTACCACTAGAGGTTTCAGGTGAAAACACTATGAGACCTTGTTGCGCCCTATCATGTGACCTACTCACCGGATAAACAATGTCACTTGGGGTTTTGGGGCCTGGCAAGGGACTGCATTGTAGATGGCTGACAGTTGGTATCGTATGCCACTCTCTCTGTTCAGTGATGGCTTCTTTTACTTCTCTATCAATCCATCTGCCTTCTTGTTCCAAAATCGGAACCGTGGCATCTTTGAAAGAATGACCTTTATCCTTTAGATGCAGATGTAAACAGAGTCTTGTCCTGTCGAGGTCTTTCTCCAGTGTAGAGGTCTGAGCACGCCTCACTGTACTGCACAGTGGTTGGCTGAAATTGTTTTTAACATGAAAACAGAACAACACTGCCCACAAGCAGCAAGACTGGTGACTGCATTAAAATAAACTTAATATGTTGTCATTTTGCGCCAGCTCAGGTTTCTCAAAACCTGAGATGTCCTTCTCTGAGCTTTCACCTTCCTTTTTAATCAAAATGCTCGACTGTGGGAAGTTAATTTTTAAAATGATGTTCAGAAAATAGAAATTTTACAAGAAATCCACAATAAAATAAAAAATATCATTGCATTACATCACTTTCTGTTATTTAGCAAGATCTGATGTCCAGAAGCAACAGAGGATAAAAGGAGGAAAAAATGTATGTAGCATGTTTCTTTCATCCATAGCACTTAAATAACCTAAGGTTATTATTAAAGGAACCATTTTTGAGCAATTTATTACTTAAAACATCTCTAGAGCAGCAAAGTGATTAAACTGGAGCCGGAAGCACAAACTAGGAGATAATCAGGAATTAAACAATGGTAGTTAAGCAGGCAGAGTACACATATTGCACCACAAAGGCAAAAAAATGAAAGAGATACAGACCACTAACTACGGGAGTGGAAACAGAAGGGTAACAAGAAGCAGGTGTTGATAGTCAAGACAATGAATTAGGGGAGGGAGTGAAAATTAAACACAACGCACAAGTTACAAATAAGTATCAAAATAAAAGAGGAAATGAACAACATCATGGCTGAAACAGAAATGCAGGAACACGAATAAAGTCAACATGGAGGAACACAGAGGATTAAAAGATGAGGATTAAAATATATCTACAAACCAAAACACAGTAGTCAAGTAAACAACTAAAACATGAAAACAAGTAAAACTTAAATCAACATGAAAAAAAAATCTGGGAAAACACAGAGAACCAAATAAGACCAGAAAACGCACTGATAATAAGGAACAATAATAAACACCTTTCTTTTGTTTTCTGTATACTCCTGATTGTCTATAATCCCCCTTGAATGAATACTGTTTTTATTTATTCCTGCTGTCTTACTCTTTATATATTGTAAAGGAGTAAAATACTCCTGCACCACATGTATAATGAAAGGAAAACAAATCACAGTGCGCAGTAGCGGTTTTAGATATGGGCGACATGGGCGGTTGCCCGGGGCAGCATCACGGGCATCAGCAAAAAAAAATGCTCGTACTCATGCTGACCCGATGTCATGCCAGCGCATATTGGGAATGGCATAGGCACCGATCGGTTTTCTATCACCCATTTGCTGGGAGTAATGGCGCCCTCCGTTAGCGATGTGCGCCTGCTGCTTGCGGCACAGGGAGGAGAGGGCAGGAAGGCGGGGGATTCACTGGCTGGCTGGAGCTGCATCTAATAACCAACAATAATATGGCTCTGCAATATGATACAGACTTATAATTTGCACCGATGTTTTTTCGAAATTCTATACGCGAAAAGTGAGCGCGAAAGCTCTCGGTGCGCCTGCTCGCTGCTGAAGTCAAAGTAAAACTTTATTGTCATCTCTGTTACATACAGTACAGGATATAGAGAGATGAGAGGATGAGGCTCCAGTTACAGCAGTGCAAGTAAACAAACAAGAGTAAGAAAATAAATATACACTTTAGGACTCGGGGTAAAGGGATCAATAACAATTTGAAATTTATAATTTACAGTTTGATGATTTAAAGTCTCACACACAACCTGTCGAAAGGGGAGGGGGCCTGCTGCTTCCAAATAGAGCACATTTCATTCATAATGATGTAAATCCAAGCCCATCATATTCATGATTTGAATCCTGGGTTGTGCGAAATCCTAGAAATACACCTTAGACAAAGTGAATCTGTGAACTAAGGTGTAGGTCTATTAGATTATGTTGTGGTGATCCTCGGGTTGGGGGATTTGTGTTCATACTGGAGTGCAAAATTAAAAGCAATGGAATATGGACAAGAAAAGTTCAAAGCCATCAGGTGCTCATTTTAGAAAAAGGAGAAAAGAAGAGGAGGAGAAACGAGCAAAAGATGCAGGTAAGCAGATGTGTCATTGGATAATGGCAGGTCATCCTGAAACAATCAGAATCAGAATACTTTATTAATCCCTAAGGAAATAATGTGGGTTACAGTTGCTCCAAAAAAGAAATTGTAAAAATAGTAACAGTAACAGACTAAACTCCAAACAATGCATTATGTTACAGATTTTAGTCATTGTCAATTGTTGATTTGTACTGTTCTCATTGTATGACGAATTATGGTGAAATTCAGTATGGTTTCAACAAAAGCTCTATGTTAATGTACAATCCTTAATATGTTTTGTGTGTGTGTGTGTGTGTGTGTGTGTGTGTGTGTGATGTGTGAGGGGGGGGGGGGGGTATTTCAACTTTTTGCCTCGGAGAGCAACTCGGCCGCGGGCTTGGACCTCAGAGGGTTAACCCAACAAATCATGAAAAATTAAGTTATACATTTTCCTTCATGACAGTGCAGATTTCTGACATTTTGTGTAAATTCAAGCATGTAGCAATTTGATTTTTTTTTCTACCAAAAAAGTGTGAAACACAAGTTAGACTTGAGTTTGTAAATGACCCGTTCCATGTTGTTTACCTTTCTGGATTTTTTGGTCTACATATTTATTTATTATACAAGCTGTACAGTACATAAAATCAAAATTCACATGTTTTCTGTAACCAAAATGTTAATTAGGTGGGCTACGGAAAATAATTAAGTTTTAGACGATACTTATATGAAACATGTATACTTACTGCACTTGAATCCTTTTAACCATATGTAACACCTGCATATGTGGGTTTACCGCCCCTGGTAAACAAAGATAATAATACTGTCCACATTGTAACCAAAAATTAAAAGTGTATTGATTCATAAGAATAAATGTAGTTATTTACGTATTTATTTGCTTTATTTTTACATAAGTACAACCAAGCAGAGCAAATGTTTTTGTTTTCCTTCTTTCTTGCGCATGCGTGAGATTGAGAAACCCACTTCTCCACCTGCGCGAGCTCTGCTGTTGTCATGACAACCAGTTGCTTACTGCAAAGTTAAAACACAAATCTGACTTGTGAGACCTGAAGTTGTCGCTTCCAAACAAACACTGTAGTTAGTCGCTAAAGTGAGTTGTCGCTGCCCTCAACCGGACTCGGGAGAACGCGGGTAAAATGCTGTCGACGACCTTCACAGGTGTGGCCCCGGCTGCGGGACGAGGAGGTGCGGAGCCGGTTACGACACCGGGGTCAGTTAGACAAAGCAACGACCGCGGAGGTGCTCGGGTCGGGAGGGAGATATCAGAAGGAATCGGTGTGCAGGAGTGGCCCGACGGCTCCAAATATGAGGGAGAGTCTATAAATGGCCTCAAACACGGCAAAGGAAGGTACAGCTGGACAAATGGAGAGGTAGTGTGTGACATATTAAAGAATTAAACAATTTCACTAGAGCATTTACTACCCCTTAGCTTTTAGGGTGTGAACACCTTAAAGCCAAGCTAAATGTAATTTAGATACAAATACACGCGTGGGTTGTTTTCTTTGGTGTAGTACTATGAGGGCTCTTTCTACAAAGACTACAAGCATGGAGATGGACTGTATTGCTGGCCCACGGGCCAAAAGTTCATTGGCAAGTTCTACCTCAACAGAAGGGAGGGATATGGTCAGCAAGTGTTCTCCGATGGAGCTGTCTTTCAGGTAAGCTGAACCATTATTTAGATTATAGATACGTCATAAAACAACGCACCTCTCCCCTCCTCTCAGGGCTTGTACCACATGGATCAGAGGTTTGGTCCAGGTGTGCTCAAATATCCAGATGGGCGAGAGGATGTGGGTCTGTGGCTCAAGGACCAACTGCTAAGGCTGTGTACCCCTTTGGAAGAGGGATTTAGCCTAAAGAATTTTCCTGAATATTCTGCCTACATGGATCCATCAGTCACTGCAAAATCCCCGACTCAGGTACATGCTGTGTCACCTACAGTAATAATAATGAATAAGAAATAAGAGGCTAGAAATAAGAGCAGTCCTTAATGCTGTGTCATGCCTTTTCACAGCTGTAACACAGATAGTGTTTACATCAGAAAATCTGATGATTAATATTTTACTGCGTACATCTAAACTTACCATAAATGTACCCTTCTCACACCTCAGTCTATCTCTGGTAGTCTACAGCAACAAAAAAGGACACACTCTGAGGTAAGTCACAGCTTTTAATGAATAACTGGATGAGCTCTCTGAGTTAATATGACGCAGATCAGTTAACGCCTCATCACCTTCAGGGGGATGAAGACAGAGATGTGCTGTTAGATGAGATTTTCATCTATCCACCTGGCATGGAGAGTTACTCAACAGATGGGGACCACTTGCCACTCCCCCCTGGTCGAAGGACAGAGCTGGATCGACATTTTTATGGCGAGCTGTGGGAGCCGGACGCTCATCCTTACCAAGGCTATGCAAGAGACCCACTGTCCACAATGCCATTACAGGCCCGCCTTCAAGCTCACATACACAACCACAGGTCAGACTGGGTCCAAACACTGACAATTAGATCTGTGAGTCTGCAACATTCGTGGAACTTCATGTGTTTGTCTCTCAGGCTGCAGGCTGAAAATGTGGGCTGGGACACGGCAGCCGTTCTCTCTATGAACAGGGACAGTTTTGGTCCTAAAGGGCCTTTGGAAGTCAGTTCAGAATTGCTTATCCAGCACTCCTCCAAAGGAGACCTGCACGCTGTATCACAGATCCTCAGGACTGGTTTAGTCTACCCTGATGTAGCAGATTCGCACGGACACACCGCTCTGATCGCTGCCACCGTAACACATTACTAATTTTTGAACACAGCAAAATAAAGGGTTTTAACATTTTGCCCGTGGTTAAAATCTGAAGTAGTCTCATGTCTCATATTCTGTTTCTGTCAGGTAAACTGCCACAATGATGTGATCCACCTGTTGTTGGACATGGGTGTTGATATTGACAAGATGAACTGTGAAGGCATGTCTGCCCTCGCTGTGTGTCATGTCCTCTACTATCCTTTTCAATCTCTGCACATCACTGGAGCTGAACCACCTGCTAGAAACCAAGTAAGATCCAGCACGAGGCACCGTGACTTTTGGTAAAACCCAAAGTTCAACTCGTCTCAGATACCTATGGTTTTCTCACAGATAATTTCCCTTTTTCTTGACATTTATTTTCCCAGATCAGCCAAGTCGACCTCAATATGGACACATCGTTAATTAAAAACCTCTCTGACCAGTAGGATTGTAGCTAATGTCCCTTCACACACACATTGTTCACTATTAACGATTTGTATTCACACACATTGCTAAATGAAGCCAAACAACATAACTGATTATGAATTTATTGATAAAATACTGCTGTATTTATTTCTTGTGTTTTCAGATCAATAGAACCAACTGAACACATTTCACTTCTCAACCGTAAAGCATCCAGTGACAGGGTCGGACTGAATGATTGTGTCGCACAAGCTGAACACACACAGGGGGAGCCGAGGACAGAGGAAAGAGAGGACAGACACTGTGAGGAGACAGAAAGCATGAGGAGCAAAGGGAAGCAAAGAAAGACAGAGAGCAGATATGATCAGAGAAGGGAACGAGGAGTAAGTGAGGTTGAAGATACAGAAAGAGAATTTAAAAGGGGAGACAAGAAAGACAAACAGGGTGAGTCTGCTGAGACCAACGAGTTAAGCACAGATCACCTGGAAGAGGAGAGTTGCGAGGAGGATGAGAAAGATGTGGAGGATATAGAGGGTAGCGATGAGAGTGGAAAAGAGGACGTGTCTTTTGTAGAACGCTCCATTCAAGTGCTGGATGGTCACATTAAACTGGGCACCGTGCAGTGGAAGGGAGCTCAAGCTAAGGTAGCAAGCAAGGGTTCATGAGTAATGCGGAGTGATGCTTCTCTGTGATTGGTTTGATGAGTTGGTTTAGTTCACTCACAACTGTTAATGTGTTTGTCTTTGCAGCGCGGCAAAGATCTGACCTCAAAACAGAGCTTTGACTCCACCTGTTGTCTCAGAAGCTACGAGATTCAAGTCACAGACAAAATGATCCAGCTCGCTGCTGAAGCTCTGAGTCGCACAGGGGTTTCCATGCTCTGCAGCACGCAGGAGACAGTACGCAAAATGGCTGCTATGAAAATAGAGTTGGTCCTTTTTCTTTCTGCCTCATTTTACTTTTTATTTTGTATTTAATTTGCTGCTGGCTCTAGTGATCACTCTGATGTTCTGTTTCACCATGCATATACATCCATCAGGCATAATATCATGATTACTGAAAGGTGCACTGAATAACACTGATTATCTTTTAATTATACCTGTTAGTTGGTGGGATATTTTAGGAAGAAAGAGAGCATTTTGTCCTCAAAGTTAATCTGTTAGCAGCAGAAAAATGGACAAGCGTAAGGAGAAGTGAGCCAATTTGACAAACGTTTATTGGCTAGAGGATGGGGTCAGATGTGGCTCTTGTGGGGTGTTCCCAGTCTGCAGTGGTCAGTATGTACCAAAAGTGGGCTAAGGAAGGAACCATGGTGAACCAGCATCAGGGTCATGGGTCGCCAAAGTTCAGTGATGCATGTGGGGAGCAAATGCTGATCCAACAGACCAGGTACTCAAAAAAGTTATTGCTAGTAAGTTGCAAATAAGTCAGAGTGCTCATGCTCACCCTTGGTGAAAATACCAACAATGGACACGTGAGCATGAGAAGAACATTTATTCTGTGTGTGCGTCGCTTACCTGGAAAACTCCTGGCTGCACTATGTGAAGAAGGCAAGCTGGCATAGACAGTGTGATGCTTTGAGTAGTGTTCTGCTGGGAAGTCTTGGGTTCTGCCATTTATGTGGATGTTACTTTGACATGTACCACCTACCTAAACACTGTTGCAGATCATTTACACCCTTTCATGGAAACCGTACGCCCTGATGGCTACACCCTGCCACAAAGCAAAAATGGTCCAGGAAAGGTTTAAGGAGCACAACAAGTTGGAGGTCAGATCTCAATTCAGTCGAGCATCTTTGGGGTGTGCTATACAAACAAGTCAGATCTATAGGAACCTCACCTAGCAACACAGAGGAGGTAAAGGATCTGTTGCTAACATCTTGGTACAGATCGCACACCTTAAGGGGTTTAGTGGAGTCCATGCCTCGATGTGTCAGAGCTGTTTTGCCTGTCCAATATTACCCATATGGAAAAGATATATATAAATCTTATAAAGTTTTTATCTGTCTTGTATGAAACTTGTATGAAAAGCATACAAGAGTGAAAACAGATATAAGATCCCTTGAAAAATTATATAATGAAACTTGTATGTTTTGTATACTTACTAAAAAAAATATGAAAGTAATGAGAAAGTGGCCACTTTCATGAGTAAATCATGTATGTTTTTACTATTTCTTTTCCATATGGGTAGGCAGGTGGCCATAATGTTATGTTTGATCAGTGTAAGTAACCTGTGTGTGTTCTGTCTGAGCAGGCACCGCATTCGTTTGGGCACCATGAAACTGTTGTTGGACCGTGGAGCTGATCCCAACGCAGCCAGGATCCCCATGCCCGTGCTCTTTTTAGCCATTATGGCAGCTGACACCGAGAATGTGAGGAAACTGCTGCTGTGCGGAGCTCGCACTGACATCCCTCTTCCACCAGAGGCAGGAGCTCAACTTTTAAACAAATTTAAATAATATTTTGTACAGGCACAAAAGAAAAAAAAAAAAATCCACAAACACAGAAAGAAAAAAAAAGCACCTACATTAAACTCACCTGAAAATCTGCTTGTTTGTATAGAGGAAAGGCTTGTATCCCCTGCATGTAGCTGCAGCACTGCCAGGTCCAGCAGGTCCCAGAATCACACAGCTGCTGCTGCACGCCATCACCGACCCAGACGTACGGGCATGCGACCAGGACGAGATCTACGAACCAGACAAGGTGTGTAGGTTTTAGAGTCCTGGGTTTTAGAGGTAAATGTGTTTGTGTTAGTTAACCTTTTTTTTTCTTTTTCTTTTTTATGTACTTATATATGTTATAGATTTCCACAAAGGCCACAGAAACACTAACTACCAGCCCACATCTCAAAGAAGGAGGCCGCACCGCTCTACATTTTGCCTGCCAGAGAGAAAGTGACTACAGGGTCGGAATGCATACAGTCACAGCTAAACACAGCACCACTATTTAATGATTACGTTACTGCTGCATCAAAGCAATATGCGGAGAACTGATGAATATTTAAGGTAAAAAAAACACCTTTATTTTCCTTCCCAGAATGCCAGTGAAGTGGTTGCCATCTTGCTCTCCCACAGAGCCAGTACAGACCTTCTCTGGAGCGGCCACTCACCTCTCTCCTTGGCTATAGCAAGTGGCAATGAAATGGTACGACCTCGTTGTGCATGCACACTCACACATGCACGTGAGAGCCAAACCTCTCTTTGTCCCACACTATTCGTTGTTCCTCGTTTAGGCGGTAGACGAGCTGTTGAATGGAGGTGCAGATCTCAACTTACCCCTGGGCTGGAGGGTGGGCAGCGCACTTTGTGCCCTCAGCAACATCAACTACCACTTAGTTGGGCACAGAATTAAGCTGGTACCCACACAAACACATAATGACGACGAAACGTTTTTAAAAATTAATTTATTAACATTTGTACTTTTTTTGTGCAGCGATCAAAGATAAATGTGTTCTTAATGACTTCAAATGAGTCACTTTTGTTCAGCTTTCAGAGAAAATAAGTTTTCCTAACATCAGTACGGCTTTTGTTTGGTTTAGTTGGACACGTTAACTAAGGCTGGAGCTGATATCTCGATGCCAGTTACAGTGTGTGGCATTGTTGGAACTGCAGTCGATTATGCACACTACTCCTTCAAACAGGTAACACTCCAGCCATACTACATTGAATGAATTTAATGTGAATTGCTGAAGAATGTCCAGTGACTATCAGCTGTAGGTACTGACAGTGCTGCACCTTACTGGTTCATCCAGTATTTTATGTTAATCATGGAGGGCCATGCTGGTGTACACGGGGGCTGAGTGAGAAGGCTTTTTAGAGTTTTATTTTTATATATATTTTTATACTCCTGTCTGCCTTTATGCTCCTATTTAGGACTCACATATTGCTTATACTCCTTTCCACGCTTTGAGCATTCGGGAGAGAAAAATATTCGAAGCACGGCAAAAGCTACTGAGCAAGATGGAAGACTTGATGAGGCAGGTTGCTGCTGAGAGGAAAACTGGTAATATAGAGAGAATAGCTTCCACTGGATACTTGGTGTAATGCACTTGTCCTTTTATTATTGAATATGCCTCTAAATCATAGAGTGTGTGTCCGTGCATGTGCGTGTGTGCGTGCGTGCATTTGTACTGCATGATTGGCAGGAGACCTTTCCTCCAACAAGGCTCTTGCCAGAAATAAAAGCCTACCAGAGGAAACACAAGAGCACAGGTACATGTACACTCACATTCATCTACAGTAAGGTGCTGCTCTAGTTCCTTTTTCCTGTTGTCTGTCATTTAAACTTTTACTTCAACTAATGTCAGTTTCTAGTAACTTATTTGTGACTCTTTTCGTGTAAACCTGTTCTCAGGAAACCAGTATTAAAGTTCTGCTTTCACTGCGGTCACTCAGTGTCTGTGAATCTGACCCCGGTCTCTTACTGCTCCAGGGCCTGCAAGCTCAACTCCTGGGAAGAAAGACACAAGAAAGAGAGCGTCCAGGTATCAGGTGGGAGTCAGAGACCCTCCTTCCAACAGTTAGAGCCAAACTTCAGCAGCCTTAAAATATTTGATGACATTTTTTCACAAGTGCTTTGAATATATGAATCACTTATCTGAATAATAAAATGATGTTTAGAGAACAATTGATGATACAGAGAATTTGTGAAATGCTGATTCAGTTTTGGAAGAATAGAGCATGTAAATACTGTATTTCTTTCTTTCCAGCATCTGTTAACAGTGCCCAGAAAAGTGCTGTGTCAAAAACCCAACGAAGTCCCAGGGCTTTGTCTGCCATCTTGAAATCCAAAACAGCCCCCAAGCCACTGAGTGTCCAGTTCAAATCCCAGAGAGAACTAAAGCTGTTGAGCAAGACAGAGAAAAAGTTGGAGAGCCAAAATCCACTCAATCTGAGGGAAAACTACAGCCACAACTGATGGATATTAACATTTCTGTTTCATTATGTCTAATATTGACTACCTAATTTAACAAAGCACTTAGATCACATCACTGTATGTGGTTGAATGGTGGTGGCAGCATTTGTGCCATAATATTTCTCATATTTGTAGCTGTCAGATTACAATATAAAATAGCATTAACTGTAAATTGTGTTATTATTAACTTGTGCTGTTGAATCAGATTGCCTTTGTCATTGTCAAGTGCAGTCCCTGCGGGTCAAGAGAAAAAGTTTAAATAAATTTTTTTAAAAAATATATAAAAAATGAGGTCACTGTCTTGTCAAAATAAATGTTTTTGCTCATGTTCTTCATTCCCATGATAATATCTGGCTGAGTGTTTCATGAGAAAGGTGAAGCATGACAGTTATGCCACATGTGGTCTATCAAAGTTCAGTCTATGATGAGGAACAAGGGTATAGATGACAGTTTAAAAAACAGCAAATGGACCTTAGATTAAATTTTTATAGTTAACGTCATTCTAATGAATATGATGATAGCTTCTGTTTTTCACTTAGCCAGTCTGCGCAGTTCTTGTTACTTATACATTCATGAAGTATTAAAGGCTCGCCTTACTGTCAGTGAAAGTAGCATCACAAATAATTCGTGTCTCATTAGATTTGTGTCTTCCTGGTTTCAAACTGGGGATCTCTCACGCATTAGCCTGAATTGTGAACCGCAACACTAATGGAACAACTTTCTATAGGAAAAAATCAAATCCTGAATATTTCATTATAAGTAACTTTTCTTTAGCACCACCCTTAGGTTGTAATATATGCCTACTGACTGGGGAGATAAGTGTTATGTCTTCCTCACTTTAGAGCCTGACTAGATTTTATTTAGGTGTTGCTATCACAAATCATGATCCTGAGGGTTAAAAACAAAACAAAAGCTGGAGCAGCTCTTTTTCCCCCCTCTCAAGACCATCCATTGTGTCACGAATAGGACAGAAACTCCACTGTTGTCCCTAAATCTGAGATCCAACTAATGGATGGACTCTTCTCTTCAGCATCTGAATATATAATTTTATGTCACATCTTAATCACAAAATAACTCTCCATGTCGGTTATTTTGCATTTGATACATCAAATAAATAGACTCAAAAAATCATTTTGTAAAATCCCTGTTTGGATGCATCATTCAGACATTCCCAGTAACATCATAACACAGACTATTTGTGCAAAGAAAGGCTCATTAAAGGCTCGTAATGATACATGCTGAATTGCCTGTTAGACTGGTTTTCATCAGCAGCAGGTTTACAGTAGGCTGAGGTTGCTGCCTGTACTTTGTTTCATACGTCATCATACGCTGATGAGTCAGAGGGACGGACAAACAAGGACCAGGAACAGGCTGGTGTGACCCAGAGTCACCTCAGCCTCAACAAGAAGCAGGAAAACGTATTCAGAGAAGGAAGGCTTCTTACAAAACCAGACCGAGGAGAAAGAGATGACCGAGGACTTGGAGGAGCAGGAAGACGAGCTGCTCGCTCTCCAGAGTATCTTTGACGCGGACGAGTTTGTTCGGGACGAGTCGAAGTCTGCCGGAGAAATCCGAGTATGTGTCGAGCTTCCTGTCGGCTTCAGCGTGGCTCTCAGAGAGGGTAAATCAGAGGCGCCGGGGTTGTCAAACACGCGACTGCTGGACCGAAAAGGTCCGATCTGATGTGTTTGGAAAATGTTGGTTTGAAATATTAGGAAGCACCTTTACTATTACAGCCCTAATCATCTACTTAACATAAAAATGGGTTTTATGTAGCCAATGATGTAAAATGAGTTGAACTCATTAGGCGAGCCCGTAACAATGCAATGAGCATGTTTTTGTTGGCCTTAAATGGGAAGTATGATGTATGAATTAAATATATCTATATTAAATATACCTTTGAACAGCTTAATGTCATCAAGCATCATTTATAGCTTTTGCCATTTGTGTTCATGTGACAGAATATATCAAATATTTTCTGTCGAATACACCCAAATTATTTAAAAACAAATAAACAAACATTACAGAAAGAGATTAGTTCATCTGATGAGCTCGTATTTTTCTTTCTAAGGTGAAAGTCTGCGTCAGTATGATATTTCCTTCCTTCCACCGCTGCTTTTGAACTTTGGGCTTCCTGAGGACTACCCCTCCTCCTCCCCTCCCTCCTTCAGCCTCACCTGCAGCTGGCTGACTCACACACAGGTAATCAGCAGTCAAGTCATTGTTGGTCACATGTTCAGCCTGCCAGTGTGTGAGAGGTTCACAGGACATTGTAGAGGCTCAGTAAAGATGACAACAATCTATTCTCCCTCTCCCTCCACAGTTGGCTGCACTGCGTGCTCATCTCGCTGATCTCTATGAGGCCACTGGGGGAGCTGTGGTGCTCTTCTCCTGGGTGCAGTTTCTCAGAGAAGATGCTCTGAGGTTCCTGAACATCCACAGTAAGCTGGATCTTCCTCCTGATGAACGCAGCACCCTGCATTATAACCAGGACCAACAAAATGCTGAACTCTCAGAACCAAAGAACAATACAGAGCCAGAGTTCTCTGTACCATCCTCGGAAGTTCAGGAGAATCCTTCAGACGGGAGCAGCACAGACTCTCAGGGAGCTTCGGCTTTAGACTCCTGCAAGCCTGACCAGAATGATCTAACCTCAGATTATCAAAGAGCTCTTTCTCCAGAGCCTGCACTCCAAAACCAAACCACACACACTCCAGATGTGACAATCCTCCAAGCCTCAGAGTTTAATGCTGATCTCCAGGATGATCTTTCTTCATCTGCAGAGAAATCCAAGCATCATCAAAGTGTCCGGGAAGATTTCTTAAATGAAGGAGATGCTTCTCTCTCATCGCTGCTTCCCTCCACCTCCTCAGGCACGTTAGATCCAAGTGAACTTGGAGCTGCTTCTCTGCCGGTCCAGCCCACAGATTCTCCTCAGAGTGAAGAGCAAACCCTCTCTGGTCTCTTTTTATCTCCATCACAGACTCTGCTGTCCCACATTTTGATCTATGATGCGGCCCAGAAACACAAAGTGTTTGCCACCACTTTCTTTGACTGCGGGGTTTGTTTTATGGGCCGGCTCGGGTCCGAGTGCGTGAAGCTGTCACCGTGTGGCCACGTCTTCTGCCGGGCCTGTCTCTGCGAGTTCTGTACGGTTCAGATCACAGAGGGGAACGTCCGGGGTGTCACCTGTCCTCAGGCAGACTGCGCTGGTGCCCCTACACCTGCACAGGTAGAAGCTACACGCAGCCTTCAACCTGCAGAATGGTTTCAACAACTGTAGTGTTTGGTCCTTTCATCTAATATCAAAACACATTTTAAAAGCTGTTAAAAATAGCTACAGGTAGAAGGATCAAGGACAGAGGAATTTCGGCCTCACTTTGTGTCTCTGCTTTTTCGTCTCTGTTGTGTTTGTAGGTGCAGAGTCTGGTAGGGGAGAAGCTGTTCAGCCGCTATGACCGTCTCCTGCTGCAGAACACTTTGGACAGCATGTCTGGTCTGTTTCTATTGCTGTTAAACTGAGTGTGTCGTAAAGTTTTTCATACACTGATTGGAATGTATTTATTACATTTCTGTATTAGACCAGACAGAAAGAACATCTTTAGCTCATTTTCAATAAATGTTTTTGTCTCGCAGATGTGACGTACTGTCCTCGAACATCCTGTGGCTCTGCTGTTATTTTGGAGAAGTCCAGCAATGCAGTGCTTTGCTCTGAGTGCAGCTTTGCCTTCTGCGTCACATGCAAAATGACCTACCATGGATTAGAAGAGTGTGAAACCAAGAAAAAACATGCAAGAGATGCATTGCAAACCGCTTTAAAAAGCCTAGACTTGCCACAGTCACAAGGTACACAAAGGCACACTATTTCAATGACTATGTGGGTATCTCTTATGTTTACTAAAAATCCAAGTATGTTTTTTAAACTGATAATTTTTTGGTGTACTGGTTATTAATGTTAAAATATTCAGTCACAGGACGAGTGGTGTGAATGTTGTCCTGTTTCAAAGAAAATCATAAAGTCAGTCATTTCAAAGCAGGAAGTACAAGAATCAACATAGAGATGTCCCAGTATTGTGTCTCGTGTCAGTGCAGGACTCAACAGCATCAATCCAAGTGCAGCAGCCTCTGTAGAGGTGTAAGATTACTTTACAACACTTACAAGTCACGAATGCGACTGAAATTTTTATTTTTATTTGATCCGATTCTAATAGTAGCACTTTGTTTGATTAATCTTTAACCCTACACTGAAGGCCTTTTGTGTGTTGATGCAAATGTTGTTTTGTGCTCTGTGCTATCTGTGTCTCTCAGAGGGGTTGAGTGCTCTCTTGAATGACTATAAACATGGCAGTAAGGAGAGGAAACGCCTGCTGGTGAGCAGATATGGTAACATGCTGGTAATACTGGAAAGTAATATGAATGACACCTGGTTGGCCAACAACAGCAGATGCTGTCCTCACTGCTTCAGCAGAATTGAGGTATTTAGTCATGTGCGCACGGAGAGTTTCTGGCTGTTTTGAAGTCATGTGACTTTGCCTGCTCACGTGTTGTGTTTCATGTTGCAGAAGAATGGAGGATGTGACCACATGTTATGCACTCAGTGTGGACAGGACTTCAGTTGGTGCTGTGCTCTCAGACTGACAACAAAAAATGGAAAAACGCACTTACAAGAATATGTCTGTGAGAACCACCGAAAATAGCCTCCCAGTGCTTCCGCTACTTTCACCAGCAGCCCATCATTTTGTCACATTAAAATCAGTTTTATTTAAAAAGATTAAAAGAGAAATGAGATCTGATTGAAACAAAAAACAGAAATTTACATCCTGTGAACTGTTTTGACCCAGACATGTCATACTGTATCATGGTCAGCAGAGGGCGCTAAACAACAAGAATGACAAAGCAGTAACATGACAAGTTCCTTTTGGTAACTTTAGAAAAGCTAATATGTAAAACAGTCTGTTTGTTTGTTCTTTTCAATAAATTGATACATGAATTTAACAAATGATGAACTGATTTATTTAACCTGGATGCTATAAAAACACTTCAGGAAAATATCCTCTGTAAAACTATACAATAGCAAACCTGTAATGTAGAATATCTTATACACATATTTCTATATGAGACGTTCTTGCAGCTGTTTCTTAGATTCTCTGAGATCTACAGTGTACATATTAATTATTAATCTTAGTCTACTCTTTTTTGACTTAACCTCATGTTTTATCACTGTTGCATATGTAAAATCACAGCATAAGGTCCTCACTATGTGCTAGTTATAATTGTAGCTCATTGTTGTCTTCACTGTCAGTAAACCCACTGTTTTTGTTTTTCAAGTAATGCATAAAGCGTGTGGTTGTAATTACTACCTATAGCCACAGTTTAAGCAGTCTGGAAAAAGCCTTTTTTACTCCAAAAGATTAAGTTAAGATTCATTAAATAATTAAATAAATGTGTAATTCATTCATTAAAATGATAAATGAAAAATATATATGAATACACAATTAAATGTCAATTCATTTCATTTAAAAGATAATTCTTTATTTCAAATTTTAATAAATTAAATACGCTACTTTCTTTACTTACTTTTTGATTCATGTATTTGTTTAATTCATTTTGGCACATGTAGGTCTCAAGACTTATGCACAAATTTTCTTTTATTATTAAATCATCCGGTTCATACCAGACCATTAGAATATTGTGTCTGACACCTCCAATTTTTGTGTAATATCAAGGCTACACTAATAGAGATTGGTTAATATGTGTTTACAATCATTACGGCGTGCCATGATGATCTGGTTTAATCTCTAATGGTGCCTTAGGAACAAACAGGTCGAGAACAGTAGTCTGTAAGCAGGTTAAAAGGCTCATAGCGGTCCTGTATACTTCATTTCTACAGAGGTCAGTCTGTGTAGCAGATAGTGGCGAAGAAGAGAAAAGCTTATAACCCTTGAACTGCATGTCTCATTTCCCTTGCAGCAGCAGGCTACAGGTAGATCCTGAACATTTGGCTTCTTCACACTCACCAACTCCCTCCATTCTTGCACTGTTCTGTCACAACACTGGAACAAAGACCACTGCTGCATACAACTGGAAATCTACAGATGTCTCGTATATCAGGCCAGCATGTTTGACTTTCTGTGTCTCTTCCAGGAAAATCCCGCTTCCACCCCAGGGGGAGGTCATCACTTCCTCATAAATGTCTAAACAACACTTTGCTTTTCTAAGGCAAACTGTTGCAGCAGGAGCCCTGGCCTGGAACTCCTGCTGCACTTGTACTTGACAAGCCTCTTGGTGGTTCTTCTGAGAGAAAAACAGCAAATGAAGAGGCACTCAGAAAATAATCATGTCAAGGACTATAAAAGACAAGTTATATGTTTCTACTGAACTATGGAGAGCAGTCATTTAACAAAACAATCTCAAATAAAATGAGGAGAAGGACTGCATGGTGAGTAAATAATACAGAAATCTTCTTTCCTGGAACTGAACAGGTAAAAAAAAAAATCAGGTGAGGACAATGGAGGCAACACAGACCTCAAAATGACACCCTGGACAGGTCACCAGATAACACAAAGAGACAGACTAACTGCATGTCTGCATGTCCACACAAGCACAGGAGAACATGCAAACTCCATACAAAAAGGTCCCGGTGAGATGGTGGAGTCTAACCCCTTCTTGCTGTGAGGCAACGGCTCATTTCATTTTTTAATCTTCTTCACATAGAACAATTAGCAGATGTTATAACTGACATGTATTACAACTCTGGGACAATATGAGATCAAGGAAGAAGCTGCCAGTTGACTTTATGCATTTGCAAACAAAGAAGAAATTGTCACTGTGACAACTTTAACCCCTTGCATTGGGGATTTTGTATATTATTTATTTATTTATAGTTTTATTATTACATAAAAATATAATATAAAGCATCATGAATTCATACCAACAATGACTGCTCTGTGTCTTTTGTAAACTTCATTAGTCCCGCCCGCATTCAGTTCCAGTAATTCTGCAGATACCTACCTTTAGTCGCACCAGATTTGTGTTACTTCCTTTATAATTACAGACCTTCTACTGTTATTCGTGCAGAAAAGGTAAAAAGATATATCTCTCAGGTCTTTGCTGGATTTATTTTATGTTGTGGACATGACTTTCAGGTAATGATCATCTGCTGTAGACAGTTTTTAGGCTTCCTGCATCTTCTTTTGTCCTCCATTAGCCCAGTTTCCTCAATTTCTTTGAGAACACACTGCACACCATGCTGTGATTAGTCGGTTTTTCAGTAGTAGTAGTTTCAAAGTTGTCCAAAGGATAGCTTTGAAAAAAAGCCTGGAGAACTGTTGCTGCAGACCACTTTAAAACTGACATGAAAGGCTGGCTCCTTGGAAGCAAAACATTAAAAAGAGGGGTTGCTAAAGACTTTTGCACAGTACTGCACGCACACATCAGAACCAAAGACCAATAACAGCCCTGAGTGATGGTTGTTGTTTCAGTCAGATTCATATTGATGTCTCACTGAGCTGACTGTCAGACGTGTGCTGAGCTGTCAGTTTGAAGCAAATCCCTCTTGAGTCTTCTAGGACCACTGATGCAATGATGTGAAGTAGCACTGCATAGCCTTGCATTTACCATAATGAATTGTAAATATCGCTGTTTTAATGCAGAGTAAAACTTTTTAAAAAACGCCATTTTATAAATCATTATAACAAAAAAAACCAAAAAACAAAAGAACGAACAGATGAAAGAGCCATCCCATCCTTGATGAAAGCTAACGACTTGTGCTAACGGCCTGTGCACCACATTTCCAGCAATCTGTTCATACTTTTTTTGTGATATCCCGCTGACAGATAAACAATACCAGGGGCACAGAAACAGCTTTCCTGGCAGAAGTAATATCAAGGATAGTGAGTAAGGCCTGGTTATCAGTGCAGTGGAAACTAGGCTATGGAGGAGCGTCTTCTCCCTGTGAGTCAATAACAGCATCAACTAACAGAACATTTATTTCCCCTGGAGCGGTAGGAGCTGAGTCGTGGAAGAGAAAGCTTGAGACAAGAATTCACTGTAATAATTATTAGCTTAGATCCATTATAGTGATCGCCACATTTATTCAGACCCCCCCCCCCCAAACGCGCACACACACACACACACACAAGTTGTTCAGGCATCCATTTAGTCAGTCAGTGGTATATTGGCAACACTGTTCAGAGGCACTAAAAGTATGCTGAGGTTTTCAAGGAGATTACAGGAGCATTATGGGAGGTTTGGAGGACCCCACACTATAAATGAAGGTGTGTGTGTGGGGTGTGTGAAAGATCTTCTTAAAAATAAGTTTTCCCCAAGGCTTACAACAGCTAAAGGTCAAGAAAGACCCTTAACTGTGTGTGGTTTCATTGGGAGTTATGGGCTGTAACCACAGTCTGGAACTGATGTGTACTCAGAGTGCTGTCAGCGTGAGCTGTTAGGAAGCCGTCAGAGTAGAGAGCTGCAGAAAACTGTGATTAAAAGTAGTTTGGCAAAAATGTAGTTCCACTACATAAGTCAGTCTAAAATCACAAAAAACATGAAGGAGACTGTGTGCGCAGCAGTGTGTGTGTGTAGTAATTAGTGAGTTTTAGAGGTGTTGGGTTACGGAGCTTTGAACAGAGCCTGGGGAGCTGTTTGTATGTTGGGCTAATTTAATTACCTCTTGGATCTATAGCACAGACACAAGAGTTGAATCAAAGTCTCAGAATGAAAGTTAAAAAAAAAATTAAAAAAAAAAGCACTCACAAAACTTTTACTGTCTCTGGAAATCCAGCTGTAAAAACAAGTAGAAATGTCTCTCATTTTTTGTGAAGAATCCTTATTATGTGTTTGTTGCCCTCATTTGAAAATCAATGGCGTAGTACCACTGGTGAGCATGGCTAACTAATCCCGACTGTGTGCCTGTATGTGTAGCTAAACTGAAAAAGTGTTTCAGATCATGGTAAGCCATCCATTTGGATCTAGTTCTATCCAGACACCTGACCTGACCTGAGCAAACTTTTCTGTGCCCATTAACATGGTGTCTTTAAAATTAGACACTCCAGTTCACCTAATTCTGCAGTCGCATCAGTAAAACCAAAGAAAACACTATGGAAATAGAAAAAACGCAGCAAAACCTTAACAAAAAAGGGGGAAGCAGTTTGAAGGGGTTTTGAGGAGACAATAACGTGATGGACCAACTGCAGAAGTGACCAGCTAACAATAAAAGCTAATAGCCAACATGCAGCTACAGTGTTATATGAGTCATTCAATTAAACACACATTACTTGGATCTTTTTCTCCCTCATAAGAATCCTTCACTTCTTGTAAACAGGTCTCAGTGCAGTCTTTCACATGTTTCTGATTTCTGTCACTTCTTCAGATCTTCGGTCATGTTCTTGTCTTCCCAAAAACACTTATGTTGTGAATTTTTACAGTTTTTTTCTATTGGTGTTTTATTCAACATTTGTGTGTTTTGTGTGCTTTTGTATTATTTTTTTCTATTTGCTGTTGTTTTCCTAACTTGCAGGGCATTTGACCTTTCTGGCCCACATGGAAAAGGAACAGAAAAAACTTATAAAAGACTTGCATCAGATGGGGCCTACTTCATATAGTGAATCATATAAGGCTTATATGATTTACACATAAAAGTGGCCACTTTCATATATTGTTTTAGGAAGTATCCAAAACATACAGGTTTCATTTATATAATTTTTCTAGGGATCTTATATCTGTTTTCACTCTTGTATGCTTTTCATTTAAACACAGATACAAACTTAATAAGATTAATATATATATAACTTTTCCATATAGGGGGGCCACCATATAATTCAGCATGAAAAGCAGAATTTGAGTCAAGGGTTTCTACCTAAACGCACAGTGTTGCCCATCTACCCTCATCTGCTCAGTCCAACAGTCCAGCGCATGGATAAAACACAGAAATGACAAATATCACACACATTTGCAACAGCTTCGGCTTCTCACCTCGTAGATTTTAGCATAGGAGTTCATTAGAGGCAAATAATGACAACAAAGACTAAACAACATATGGTAGAACACATTTTCTAAATAAACATCAGTGTATTTTTATATTCACTGCAAACGTGGGATTTTTTTTTCCAGTAGCATTTTGCAGATTCCTCACAGCACACAGACATTTCCAAACAACCAGCTGTGTAAACTTCATTAAATACTCCTGAACAGCAGCCTTATAGTCTCAGCCTGTGGTAGAAAGATCTTAACAGTTATTAGGTATGACTGTACTCATGCACAAAATAAACCAGATACATTTTATACAGTGCGATACGTAACACACTCTGTCATTTACTGCGAAGCACTGAAGTTTAACTTATTAACCTGTGCTGCTGAAGTAGAGCCGCAAATAGATAAGTGAAACCAATAATTATTAAGTATATTGTACTCACATTCTCTATAGTTTCTACCAAGTAAACATAGAATAGAAATGGATACAGTGCCCCAGATAGTAACTGTTTCAGCACATTAACATACTAAATAATAACTAAACAGTCCAATTTAAATCATTTGTACCGGTTAATGGACATATGTTGATGTAAATACATTTATTTCCCACAGTGCTTTTATTTATTTACGTTTTTGGCCTTTGTCTGTGTGAAACATTTGTCCAATTAATAGAAATCCTCTGATGCAAAAACCCCAAATGGCAAACAACAAAAAAACAACAAAAAAACAACATAAAAACAACATAAAAACAACATAAAAACGTTTCAGCGCTACAATATCCTTCCAAAAATAGTCTTGTGTAAAAGGAGCACTTAACTGGTGGGCTGCTGTGTTTCAGCTCATTAAGTGCAAATTGTGTTTGCCACGTTTTTTCAGGCTTAATCGTTTATTTTCAGCAAGACCCTTCTGCTTCTGAGATTTTCCTGCTACACAAAAATTTTGTCATTTTTTAAGCTCTTGAAAAGAAAACAGACGTTTTAGAATCAAATGTTGATTACAAACACTTGTTTGTCCTTGTAAATCCTCTTGAGGCCCAACTCGTGTGACATATCGATCGGTGCGTGGACACTGACACAGATTGTTTCCTATTATTTCCTGTGCACGCTGCCCTTTGAACCTGGAGCTAACGCCAACCTTTCTACAATACTAGATAATTAGCCTGGCATCACCTACGACGTGCGCTTATGCAAATTAGTCTGTTTCAATGCTCCTGGATGCAATTAGACCTGTAAACACTCAGAGCAACGTGTGGCGTCATGTTGAGGGAAAAATGTAAAGTGATTACAGCGTTCAGAGGGGTGAGTCGGTGCATCAAACTCGCCCTGTAGTTGATAACCGGCTGTAATTGGACTGGCACAGACAAGATCAGGTGGAAATCTATTTGAAAGTTGGGGGATGGCAGACGCATTCTGCCAGAGCAAATTAAACATTAGCTCCAAGATTGAAATTCAATTCAGTTCCGTTTAAGTTTGTTTATATAGTGCCAAATCACAACTGTTGTGACATTTTATTTATCCCTTAGAAGCCTACCTGAAGCTCTTTCTGTCAAATTTCAGGACTGCTTATAGAACAAAATGACTGGGTGTGCATCAGAGGTTAGTGATGGTGGTCTCTGCCTGTGCAGCTACCTTTGGAAAAACCTGCAAACTGTTCTAATGGTCATCAACCACGTCTTTCCTGATGTACACTGAGGTGTCAAAACTCAACATGAAGGGAAGGTCATCAAATGTCATCTTTGTGGGGGGAAAACGACAGAGATCTCGCACACGTTGGCGGGAATATGCAGTTTTCCACTAGTTCACCTGCCACTGACCCACATGTGTCACGTATGCTGGTAGCCTACAGCCCACATGAAATTAACTTGATTGTGTGACCATGGGTTAATGTAAAGTTAATGAATAAGATGCAGAATAACAACAGTATGTGCGTAATAGCGCCATGATACCGATCCCTATCCGTCAAAGAATTCACCTCTACATCCCTGTGAGAGCCACATGATTCCCCCAGAAACAACCAGTACTTCACTTTGTGTTGGTTTTGACACAGACCAGGGATTTCTGGGGCATCTTGATGGCAGCTGATACTTTGCTGGTGTGTGGCACAAAGACAGGTTGCGTTTAATGTTTTTTTAATGTCATCAATAGGTTGTGTGAGTTACAAATAATGCTGCCCATTTGCCATCTGAATTTATGGTAAATGGGCAGCATTTATACAGAAGTTACGCGACAAACTTACTATCAAACAAGGAAATATTAAGTATCAGTGCCTCATGTTAAGTGGTAAAAAGCCACAAAACAGGTGGAATTATCACAGAAAGGGGTCCAAACGCTCCACTATGAACATTTCTGTCTGGATCTTTAGGCTGTATTTGTAGGAGCCCACTAGCTTCCTGTGATCTCCTCGTTTTCTCCAGCTTATCATTTCCTGCACTTGCAGAAGGTTTTCAATAGCTGCACTGGAGTGTGACTCTCATTTTGAGTCCAAGAGCCTGTCAGCGTAATAAAAGGTAATGCTCCCAGCGCTTTCATGTAAGACAAAGCATGTTATTTCTAGGAGGAGGAGAGCTATTAACAGACTGCAACTCTGCCTCAACGCGCAAGACTAGCTCACCCACGGCTTTTTGTTCCTGTTTCATTAAACTGTGCGGCAAGGTGGGCTAATAAATAGGCGAGCACTTTATTTTGAATGCCTTCTGCTTGTACGTCCCTCTAGCTCTGCCTTGCTGTTGCGTTTTAATCCCCAAAAATGCCACAGCGCTTTGTTCTCACAGTGCTATTCTCCCGAGCATCCTAGTGTGTGGTCAAGTGTGTGTATTTGTGCTCTGGAGACAAATATAAGATGTGAGCAGCTGCCTCTCCCTGCAGCAAACAAAGCCGAGCAAAGAGAAGGCCAGGATGCTGCTTTCAATTCTGCTTTCCAGCTCATCTAATTATATGAACTGATCAGACTGATTTAATTACTGAGGAATGGTTTTTTTCCGCAAAAGCAGATTTAAAGGGGAGGTTTTTCTTCTCTTTTCAATAACAAATTATTGATTTTTGAACACTGAAAAAAAAACACAGGTGTATGCTGATAATCTTTTTCTGTTACAATGGGGGAAAAGCACCGTTCTATTTTAAAGGATTAGTAAGAAGGGCTTTGAATGACAAGCTTTTCTGCTTGAATATGTACATTTTGTGACCCCTTCACTATCATTGATATCTGTGGCGAAGATCAGCATAAAAGACTCATTTTATTAGTACTTATTTTTTTAGCAATTTTAAATGTGACTATAGACTTTGAATGCCTTGTGACAACTTGCTGTGTTCGGCTCAGGACCATTAAACTGGAACAGTTAATCCAATTTAACTTCAATTATATAACTTTTTTTCCCCCAGAACGGGCTAAACACAGGAACACAGCTGGATCTCCTCGTATGTGGAAAAAGCAACACAAACAGGCCAAAGCAACATAAAATAAAACCATTGCGGCACAGTCCATGTTACTATTTAGCAGTCGTTGCACACACTGCAGTAAAACCTGCGTACGTCCCCTCTGGGAATCAAGACTGGGAGTATTAAATGACATGTCTCACAAGCAGAAACATCCAGGAGCGCTGCAATTTGCGAGTCAATTTGAAGTTTAGAGTTAAGTGCGTTCGGTTTGAAAGCGTTTGCGCGTTTGAGCGTTTTTCAAGAGGAAAATTTTGTCTTGTTCTCGTCATCAAAGCATGTTTCGCCCTTAGGGGCAGCCTCTGCTGGCACTCTGTTCTCCTTCCTTCCAAAGTAAAAACGATGAGACTAGCAGCTTTTTAACCAGAACTGACGGTACCAGAGTTACTTACAAAGGCGCCATCCAAAGTGGTACGGAGGGCCTACAGTGAAATCCACACACAAACATACAGTGCTCAAAAAAGAAGACATTCACTCAGTGCTCACTTACAAGATTCCTGATAGTTGTTAAATAGATTATGAGAGTTTACAAGAGATGGTGAGCTAACACTGATCAAATAATCAATAGGATTCATGTCTACTATAGTCTATTTACATCTATAATGCAATATTAAGAATATTTACATAACATTTGTGAATACAGAAAAATCCAATCAATGTGACAGATTGGTTTTTTACTATATTGCCAAAATGGCTAGCCAAAGCTTACTCTTTAGCCTAACTTCCTCCAAAGGCACCAGCAAGGCTTGCAAGAGCCTTCAGCCTGATACACACCTCAGGACAAGTAGGAAGTCAGCTAAGGCTCACAGTTTCATATAACACTGTTTCATTAGGTGAAATTCATTGTGCTTTTTTTTTAAATTAGCAAGTAGTGCTTTGGATTTTACTACATCTGTTTGGTTGTAAAGATGCTGAATTTGTGTCCCGTGTGGCTCTGTGGTTGTAAGTTTTCCCCTGCAGTCCCTGCTGCAGGACCTATAAAAAATACCTGCAGGGCTAAATGACTCGTAAGAGTTTAAAAAATCATCTCAAACTAAAACTTAGTAGTTGTTTTCCCAAGTTTTTGTAACATAAAGGAATTGCCCCCTCACTCACCCTTGTCTGCATTTTTGTACTTTTCAAGTTTTCTGCGTATCTTTGTCTTCGCTGAGGCTTCTTGAGCCTCTTCTCATGTCCACCTAACTTTCTGCCAAAAAAGCAAAACCCTGATTTCCCCTCTTTCAGATTTCTTTGCATTTCTTTTGCATTTACCTGTGCCCTGAGTCAGAATGTAACCCACTTAAAGCTTTGGAGGAACTGGAGCAGAAAGTATAAGAAAGGATAATGGCTTAAAAATGTAGTCTGATTCTGTGGCTAGAAAACAGATTTTTTTTTTGTTCAAAGTTTTAAGATTAAAAATCTACAATTTCCTCTGAATGTTATGAGCTGATTAAATACACACTTTCTAGAGCAATACAAGGATTAATGGAATCCAATTTTAGCCTCCTGTATCAGAGCAGATGCGACACGAAAAGCTGGGCTGTCTATCAGGAAATAGGGATCAAACTGTCAACCCTGCACTTTGTGGACAATCTGATCTACCACCTGAGCCACAACCAGCCACCTCTATTTATATATTTCCTATCAAATTGAAAGATTATGTGTTTAATCCATACACCAAATAAAGTGCAAAAAGATCTTGATGTAATCACTCCACTAAATATGCTCTTCAAAAGTATGGCAGTATTTTCAGTTTCCTGCCCTGCGTTCTTGTACTCTTTACATGTTCTCTTCCCTTCCCCTCTTGTGTCTCTTAGCTGTAGCCGAGGTTCTCCATCTCATGGCGGTATCTTAGCTCCGACACTTTTGCTTTGTGCTGCTTGCTCTCCAAATGCTGCCTGAAGTCCGTCTCCTGCTCGGCCCCGCAGTTGCACATGGAGCAGTAGAACTGTCCGCTGGGAGTCACGCACATGGCCAAGTCCCGGGGGATGCGCTGCCTCGGTCTGGGGTTGTAGTACGGCCCTGAGGGAGAGAAAGAGAGATTACAGAGATGAGATGGATGGCTGCTAACTGTTATTTTTAAGAGATGTTTTATTGCAGAGGGAAGTCACAATACAGTGCCAAGGGTCCAACTTTAGGTTTCAACTAGTGCCTTATACAGTGGCAAAATGAGATGATAATCAACTAGAACATCTTTAATGAAATACTAAAGCTCCCAGAAGAAACCCATCCTAGCATAACATGGACAAAGGGGGTTTACATCTCGCTGGCATGTACCAGCATGGTAACTTATGCTTTCAGCCTAACCTGCTCCAGTGATGGTTACAGTATGTTTCATACTAGAGCTCACTGGGTAAGAAACCACTGCACACTTACAAATCAGTTCTCTGTAAGACAGCCTCATCATTCCTGGAACTAAAATGTTTTAACGTCTCTACATTACCCCGATGAGCAGTAATGAAAACACATTTTTAGATGCAACTTTTCCCATTGATGCAAACAATTTTGCGTTTTTATTTTATAAGCAGTAACATATGACCCTGAAACAGGACACCTATTTGTGCCTGCACATAGACTAAGCCTACATTTGAATTCTGTTGATTATTTCTTTAATCAGATCCTCCTGTTTCTTAATGACAGAGCTGTGATATTAAAAAGTACACAGTAAGCATTTGTGTTGGCTTTCACCAGACTTCAAATAAGCTAAACTTTATTAATACTGTAGCTTTTCTCAGAGTATATTTTCTTTGTTTCTTTGTAAAATCACTCCCTCTGTTGACAGATATAATTGTGACTGGTTAGATGCGCCACAATAAAGTTTACATTTTTGATTCAGGTTAAAGGATGGACTGAACATAGGACAACTCACAATTCCTTCACTTTTTGTTTCTTTTTTTTGCTCATTTCTAACCAAAAAACCCAGCAAAACTGTTAAGATTCCCATCCCTCATTATTAAGAAATGCTAGCATTTCTTGCCTATGACTCTTATCTTTTTATAAAATACTACTGGTAAGAGTAGATGCTACAAAGTACTTATCTAGAATTTTCAGGTGTCCATACTTTACTTGAGTATTTATTTATATGACTACTTTTGACTTTTATGCCCTTTTTAAACAAATATCTGTACTTTCTGCTGCTTACATTTTCAAAACAGGCTCATTGCTCATTGCTGACAGATTTGGGTGGAGTTATTATATCACACTGCGGACCTTCAAACGTCAAACCGATTTGAGCCTAAACCGAAACACGTGAAAGATAATCCTGTTCGTTCAACTTTTACTGGAGTATTTTTAACATTAATATCTGTACTTCTACTTAAGTGCAGAACATGTGTAGCTTTGCCAACCCTGGATGCTGCTATAATTGTACATTGAAAAAATGAAATGGGCATAGGAAAATGCAGCCAGCATTTTACTGTCTTAAATTTATCTGTTAAATCTTCGACTTTTAACTTCATATAAAATGCTACTGATATTGTAGTTGAATGAATTCATCTGCAGTGTTTGTTTTTTTTTCTGTTGTTCAGTGATAAAAATGCATCCCAGACCCATGTGTGTATGAGTGCTGTGTGTGTGACAAATGTACACAAATGTGTACAGAAAGAAAAGCTGAAAGGCGTCTGTGATTACATGATGGCAGAACACTGGAAACAGAGTGTTGCTTGTGTTTTAGCAACACAGAAAAAGGAGAAGAAAATAGAGAGATAGAGAGAGAGATAAAAAAGACAGAACGAGAGAGAGAGAAGCTATTTTAGGGATTGTCCATCAAGAAAACTGATTGAATCAGCAGATTTTTTTTTTTTTTGCCTGTGGAAGAGCGTGTCAGCGGGAGACTAAGAGGGATTTGCTTTACTGTATGACTTGTGATTTATCTTGTTTTATCTCGAGCTGAAGTGCAGGTGCTTATGTCTGTGGAAAGACAGAATAGGAAACAGACACGTGCAGAAAGAGATGGTAGCTTGACGTCAGCAGAAAGTCTGACATTACCTCACTCTGTATCTGTTTTCACACATGTACACAATGGTGAAAGCAGACACTCACACAAACACAAAGAAACCACAGTTAAATAATAATTATAGAAGAACATTCAGCCTTAAAAAAGAAAGAAAACATGTGTGACCATGTGAGGGTCATGCACTGGACATAAGTAGGTGGGTGCACCAAAAACGGTAGAAAATCCAGTGACATGAGAGAGCTTTAGGAGAATAACTCCTATCTGTGACATCATTTAGTTTTTTTTGACAGTTTCCACACTGACTCAGCAAACAGACACTGCCCTCAAAGGCTGCTAAAAATGACTACGGGTCATGAAAGCTGCTGTAACATGAATTATCAGTATATGGAACAGGTCTAGACCTAAGAAAAGGATTTTACAGCATTCGCTATATCTCTTTAGAAAGACTGTTGGGGTGTTTGCAAGTACAAAATCAGCTTTTAGAAGATAAATTGGCATTTTGAACAGTGGCTTCTCGGGGTAGGTACCATACACATCACATTTTATGCCGCATAAAAAGACCAATTTCAAAGACTAGTGTGCATCAAATAGAGTTGTTTGAAGACACAACCAATAACTCAAATAAAAGAATATAAGATCATTAAAGAAACAGCCAAGTTTACTGCTGATTGGTCCTCAAGCCGCTGTGTATGAACAGGTGACATCTATTCTAGGACTGCTGAATATAGCTTGTTTGTAGTGACGTATTTTCCAACCACCACTTAAGATAACACAATAACAGACATGACCCTCAATAGCCAGACATATTATTGGTCAATTCATTAAATAACTTCAGAATTTGCTTTGCTAGTTTGCAGCCTTTGAATAGACGTGGAATAAGACAAAATCTCTTGCATTTCTTTGCATTTTACTGACCAAGATAGCTACAACAATGCCACTTAAATGAAGAGTTTATCAGATGACTTTTGATAGTTATCTTTAAATTATGCTGATGTCGCTTTTTAATTAGCATTTAATTTTCTTATCTTACCTGGCATGGAAGCGGGTACTTGTGGGCTGCGACGATTTTTCACTAGCCGGTACTCACTGCCATCTTTCCTGTTCCTTCTCGGAGTTGTCTCATTGCTGCTTTCCCTGTAACAGGCAAAGCTAGAGTCAACAATTGTTGGTTCCATATCACATGTAATGGCAACATGGCTAGCTTGAAATACCTGAGTCACCCCTCATCTTTCTAAGATGTTTCATGTTATTTTCTTTAGGGCCAGCATCCTGCTTGTTTTTGAGATATCCCTGCCCTACTGCTGCTGAATACCTGGATCAGGTGTGCTTTGCCAATAAGAAGCTAAAAGGGCAGGTTAGTTGGAAAACAAGCAGGACAGCGGCCCTCGAGGCCTCAAGGTATGGAGTTCCATACCTGTGTTCTACAGGCTTGGTCTTGCAAAGCTTTTCTTTGGACACAGGCTGCTTTTTCACTCATTATCAGGCCAATTCTTGTACCTGACCATTTCCAGAGGAATGTTTTTTTGTTTGTTTGTTTTGTAAGCCACCTAACACTGACCTATGAATCATTCAAGCATAAAAAAGGGACCTAACTCTAGGGACAAGCCAGTGTTATGTCCATACATAACAGACAACTTACCAAATTTGTCTTTTGTACCGTAAGTTGTACCTTTAGGGACTTTGGTCTAGCTGCCTGTTGTAAAAACACATAATTTGTTCTTATCTCTTTAGTTGAATCTATTAAAACTGCCAAAGATAACACAGTTTGAAATAATAAAATAGTAATTTTGTAGCAACGCAGTGATTTCAAAAGTGCGATCAGCAGAAAACAGCTAAGGAAACTGAACAAGTGGAGGACTAAAAAAAATGGGCAGGCATAAAAAAGAGCTATCAACAGCAGATGAACAGTATGTCCGCTCCACAACAGAAAAAATATCCAGCAAACACCTGGCAGAGAACCCGAGAGATGCATTTGGTCCTTCAGTTGATCCATTTAGGCCTAATCAGAAATGATCTCAGTGGAAGGGTGGCTGAAGTTGTTTTAAAGAAGGGAAACAGGGAGAAAAGACTGAGGTATACCAAATTACACAAGAACTGGACTTAAAGTAATTATCAACAGGCCTGTTGGAGTTATGATTCCAGATGTGAAATGTTTGGTTCAAATGTTGATAATATCTACAGCGAAGGTGAGGAAAAAGGTACAACAACAAGTGTCTACATCCATCTGTAAAACACAGTGGAGGTTCTGTCATGGTTTGGGGCTGAAATTCAGCCAGTGGTGCAGGATCTTGTCAAAATGGATGTTTTCATCCATCAGTGTGATGACCACAGAAAAGTTTGGTCAGACCTTGATCCACCACACAGCACCATCTGGAAAGCATCTGATTGGCAACGGCTTCATTTTTCAGCACGACAATGATCCCAAGCACACTGCTAATGCAGTAAAGGCACACCTTTGAAAAGAAACTCACAATGGAAGACTATCAATCATAGACTAGTTTACCCAGAGCCTCAACATTAGTGAACAGTGTGGGATGATGTTGACAGAGAGCAGACTAAAAGGCAGCCAACATCCAAAGAAGAGCTTTGAATGTCCTTTAAGAAGCCAAGAGAACTATTCCTGAAGTTTGAGAGAAAGAGAGTTCAGACTGTGTTGCAAAATAAAGGTGGTCATACGAAATATTCAGCTGCATGCTTTTATAAAATAATAGAAACTGCTTTTGCTTATATACTGTTTTATTATACTAATTTTCTAGCAAATTGTAAAGAAACGATGGATGGCTCAAGATATTTGCGCAATGCAATGTATATCTGATTGCAATTGCTATATTTCTTTTTCAGCTAATGCTGAACAAGGTATTGTCTGTAGTGGGCCTCCACTCCATTATGCCTGCGTAAAACACAGTAAGGATGAAATCTCTGTCCAATAAAGCCAACATGTCTTCACCCAAACCTACATGGTACTCGCATTCTGTTGGGCCTCAGCCAGCCGTAGTTTCTTGGCATGGTTCTTGCCCTGGTAGTGGGCCTGTGCAACTGCTGGTGAACTGAAGGAAGCGTCGCACAATTTACAATAGTCATTCTCTGTGGCCAAGATGACCCTGGGTGCCCCCTTATACAGCGCCTGCAGAGACAGGACAAAGCAGCACAGTGTTTGTGGTGAGAGGAGATTTGGAGTAAACACTGTGAAAACAAGGAAAGAAATGTTCCATTTCAGCAGGAGAAAGAACTCATTGCCTTTAAAATGAAAGTAAAGCCTAATGGAAGCTATGAGTTATGCTATTTTTTGTCAGAAAGATTGTTATTTTATTAGCAAACATAATAAAAAAAATTCACTGGTTACTTAGAATAAATAGACTTTTAAAAAGCAGGGATTGAGTGTACAGTGGTGAGTGGATGCTTTGAGTGTCTGCTGTTTAAATGAAACAGAGTGACTATGCAGTTCTCTACCACCTCCTCAGAGCAAGTGACCGCCATCATCCGAGAGGCCACTTCAGCAACAGCACACCCACCTCCTAAGCTAACACTGTAGCATTAAGGTAGGCTGTGTACTAGTTCTTAAATACGGGCCTTACCTGCCTGCCTGCGTCACTGTCGCTGGACCCTGAGCTCAGGGCCGTCTGGCCCGCAGTCTCAAAGGCTTCTGGGATCCTGATGGCCGGTGGCTGCTGACTGCCAGCATAGAAATTTCGTAGCTTTTTACTGTGGTTCTTTCCCTTCAAAGAAAGATACGAGATGTCGATTTTATTCGATTCTTCACATGTTTTTCTGTGCTATTCTGCATGTCTGAATTTGGCTTTCAGCTGACCTGGTAGTGAGCCTGTGCCTGCTGAGCAGAGTTGAGGGTAACGTTGCAGAGTTTACAGTACAGCGGTTTACACAGTTCTTCTAGTCCCAGAGAGTCCTCCTGCTCCTCTGTCCCCAGCGAGGAGCCCTCATCCTGGGGCTGCTCACTGGTTGGGGCTGCCTGGCCTGGGAGTGGACCGCAGATGAGGCTGGACACTGTAGCTGGGATGAGGGCTGGTCCTAGGGGCCTTGGGGGCATCTGTGAAGGGTCAGGGCCGGGAGCAGGAGGTGAGGACAAGGGGCTGGGAGGGAGGGGAAATCGACCTGCTGTTGGTGCCACTACAGGTGGAGGCACCAGTGCTTGTGCAGGGTTCATATGTGGAGGCCCCAGCTGCTGTGTAAGGTCCATGGTTGGAGGCACTATTGCTTGTGTGTGATCTACTGGTGGGGGACCCAGGGTGTGTGCCATTGGTGGAGGCCCCAATGACTGACCTGGAGGCATTGGAGGGGGGCCTAAAGTGTGTGGCGGGGTAATGGGAGGAGGCCTTAATGTATGAGGTGCATTTATGGGAGGCGGGCCTAGACTCTGGCCATGAGCCATAGTTGGAGGTCCAATAGATTGAGCGGGGGCAATGGGTGGTGGACCAAGAGGGTGTGCAGGTGCCATTGGCGGAGGTCCCAACTGATGTAAAGAATCCATGTGTTGGAAAGGCTGCTGGGGATGACTGAAGAGACTCAGGGGAGGCTTCAACATGGTTTCTGGACCTGGGTACATTAGAAGCAATACAATCAGGCCTGCATTACACACATAAACACAGATATTAGAAATCAAAGACACCTCCTATAAGCAAATCCTTGATAAGGATATCAGCGATGACGAAGGCAGACATTAATGAAAAAATACAGTCACTTACATGCACTCTATATTTTATGCAACTTCTTTCCATTAATGTTTAATAGCCTTTTGGCTTTTAGGCACTTGTCTGTTTCACTATATTCAAGCAGGAACTGTGTTTGAGACTGAATGGATGACTCGTGTCTCCATATGTGATAGACTGGTAAATTGTCTCCGCTGTGCTCCGTCTCCGTGGGATTGGCTCTAGCCCCGAGGCCTCAAGTTAGACAAGTTGTGATGGATGAATGGATCATCACAACTTTCTGTTCAGTCATCAGCTAATGTATCCCACTGACTGACTAATGGTAATTTGCTCTCTTTCGTTGAACAACACCATGACATTTTCTTTTGAGTAAAGCGTGTGAAAAAACTACAAAAAGGCCTTCCACGACACTAGGTTCAGATAATCATGTTCCTCTTTGTGTGAACTGTAAACCAGTTTATGATTCTACTGGCTTTTTACCATTATTATATTGAGCTTTCTGTTTGTCCAGTTCTTTAGTTTATGACCAAATGCAGCTATAAACAAACACCGTAAAAGCAGGGAAAACTGTACTTGCTATACATCAGCATTTTAACAATTCCATTGTGAGCATGTTGGCCTGCTGATGGTATCATTTTGCTCAAAAGGCTGCTGTGCCTTAGTACAGCCTCAAAGAGCTACTGTGATGGCTGTGATCTTGTTCTGCATCAAAATACACTCTGAAGAATGTTACTGCTTATATTTCAGAAAAGCATCTTGGTTTTTTTTTTTTTCTTTTGCACGTGTTAATTTGCAGGAGCTGTAGTGGAAAGCTTTTACACCTGGTATGATTTTGAGCCGTATGTTTAAAAAGAAATTTCTTTGTAAAAGACAAAACATAAGCAAAATCATCGAAATGCCACTTATTTGGAAATATGATCTCCATTTTATTTAAGTAAATGAATGTGGAAGAGTCATGATGCAGATTTAAGGAGATACTGTTGACTGACCAGTCATCAAACATACACTGTGAGGGAACTCAGTGACTACAGTACATATGTCTATAGCCCCAAGGCTGGAGAGAAATTACCAAACAGAAACACATTCTCGGACAGAGGAGCTTCACATTTCAGTGGGCACCAGAAAGAGTAGTCTGAGTTGCAGTGCCTGCGGCCATGCAAACAGGACATTACATACACATCTGTTTGCACACACACAAACAGAGGCAGCGACAGTAAAATACAGTCCGAAGTGCGACTACTTGGATAAGCTGATACAGTGTGAGTGTGTGTGTGAAGGCTGGGAGCAACTATGTAAGTGCTACATGAAAAAATAATAATAAAAAGGGATGATATTAGTAATGGTGCGGCACTAATTTCAGTTTGTTCTCTTTTGATGCTCCAGTATCATAATATTAGTAATATAATATATCCGTGTGTGTTTGCATGTGTGTGTGTGTCAGTGCATTTCCCTATATTGTCAGGTCAGTAATAGGCCAACAGCTGTGTCAAAATTCACTGTGCTGGAAGCTTTCATCATCCAATCGGACGCCCGATAGAAGTGAATCATGCACCCAAAATAACATCCCTGGCTGTTTGTGTTTCCGACTGCTGCTCACTGTCAGTCTGTCTGTCCAATATGTCTAGCTGCCCATCTGTCACCTGGCCTGGCTGACCTCAGGAGAAAGGTATGCTAGACAAGTCACTGACCTTACTATACTGTCGTCAACTGCAAGATGAGACTCTGGAAGAGCGAGCAGAACTGGGTGTTGTGCCCCACACATTAAGATGGAAACCTAGACCATGCAGTTTCTGGAAAAAGTGCGGTGGGATTGTTGCTGGGATTGGCCAAAAGATTTGAAGGGAGATGGCTCATGAGCACATTGGCTGCTACTTTAATAATTCAATTCAATTCAAATTTATATATATAGCGCCAAATCACAACGACAGTCACCTCAGGATGCTTTATATTGTACAGTAGATCCTACAATAATAGATACAGAGAAAAACCCAACAATCATATGACCCCCTATGAGCAAGCACTTTGGCAACAGTGGGAAGGAAAAACTCCCTTTTAACAGGAAGAAACCTCCATCAAAACCAGGCTCAGGGAGGGGCGGCCATCTGCTGCAACCACCTGGCCACAAGTGTGTTGTACCTGTGATAGCAGCTAGTTTGTAACAGGTTTTTATATTCAAAACGCAGTCAGCCTGTTCAGGGACATTTAACTTGTTGCAGTAATGCTGACCCTCTGCAATGTGGAATCATTTTGTAAACAGGAAAATGTTTGCAGTTTTCCATCTGAGATTGTGAGGATTTGCTCTATTTGAACTCACCATCTTCACCATGCAAAGGAGAGGCGAGCAAGCTCGCAAGCAAAATGCCAGAGGACAGTAACATACAGTAAGCTCATGTTGAAGCTTTGTATACAGTCACAACATATTGACCTTACATGTTTTCACCTCATGAAAGGTTCACGGTGCTGTTTTTGGAGCACCCTGCAGAGGTATTCCCAGGCATCCATTGAGAGCATCAACACTAATTCATTTGTAGTAAACAGGAGTAGAAGTGGTTAACACAAATGTGAGTCAGTAAATAGACAGTTAACAGAACAATAATGCTTCATTGCCAGAAAAATCCAACTCATACTTAAAGTGCATTGCAAAGATCAACACAGCAAATGGAGCCTTGAGAGCAAAGACGGAGAAATACAACAGGAAAATCTGTTATTAATGTTACAACGATAATAAAATTAATGTTTTACCAATTAAAAGATTAAAAGTGGTCCCAAAACCCTTCACATAGAAAAACAAAAACATTCTTGATAGTTTATGCTTCAGATGATCATATTTTCACTGGGGACATTGGATGAGAGCAGTACAGTATATTAAACTACATGAAACACCAATGCCCGGCAATGTTCGTTAATCGCACCAATTGCATATGACAGCATCGGCCTTGTCGGCAGCAGCCTCGAGAGAACCCCGGATCGCCGAGTGAAACAGCAGCAACCCAGAAACCCCCACCACAGGACGGCTGACCTTTTTTCTTGGGTCATTAAACAATTCAGGGAACACAGCGTGCCACCACACAGTAGTTTGAGCATTTAACCACATGCTTTGCATTTACTGTATGCCAGTTAAAAATATAAGATAAGCCCGAAGATATTGCAGCTCTACCATCACTGCCTCCAAGAATGACACGTTAACTTGCAAAAGAACTTTACAGGGAGGTCAGTTTTTTGAGGAAAAACGGTTTTGGATCACTGCAAATTATACATTACAATCATTAAAAGATCCCAAAATTTTAAAACACTTTTCTGATGGTTTGGTCTGATATCACATGCCCCCCCCCACACACACACACACACACACACACAGCGCAAAGAAACTATTTTTGGCACGACAGTTTTGTGTAAGATCTCATTATGCGGCATATTCTTCTAGATTAATGTAACTGGGCTATGTGCTTGTTGGTGAATCTCCATCTGTTTGCTACAGAGCAGTGTCTAAACAGTCTTTTTACACAATCACCATAATTGCAAGTCTTTTCTTCGTCTGCACTTCAGTCCCTCTGCTAGTCAGAGAGACCTTTAACACCTCTGTACATTTGTAACTTGAAGCCTCTCACTCCTCAGGCTCCATCATTAAAATCTTAAAACACGGTCACGTTTCGAAGCACTTACAGTCAATCTGTTCTTGAACTCGAGAAATAAAAACATCAAACAGCTTTATTTTTGTATTTTTTCCACACACTCCTTGCGCTTGTTGGCATTTTCAGCTCAATTAATGCGTCCTTCTCTGAAAGTACAGAGAACATAATGACCAACAGAGCCATCTACAACTGCTGTGTATGTCACACACTAACATTAAATCCATTTGTTCATATTTTGCCTTGATCTGTGTTGTTGTTGTTGTTGTTTTCGTTTTGTTTTTGCTTGATCTCTTGTTTTTGTTCCAAAGTGTGAAGCCAAAATCAGCATCTACTTAGTTTAATGTCCTATTATGATCCTAGGCAGATGGACTGTAGGCAATGATTGATTGGTTTGAAGGAAACTGAGCACAGTTATGATGCTCAAGCAAGGAAGATGATCACACAAAGATGGCATAAAAACCAACCTGCATTTCAAGTGTTGTTTTTTGCTCCTCATTTAGCAAACATGAACAGAGTTATAAGGAAAAAAAACCAAAAACCCAAACATTGTCCAACTGTGCTTTTATTTTGGCTCTTTTGTCTTTCTGTAGTTTTCCTGTGAGCTAGATAGGTCAAGGTGAGCTTGCTTCTTTCCTTAGACCCAGATCTGCACCCACATAGTGCAGTCCTCAGAGCCGCGGACCATATTCAAACATCTACAGCAGTGGACCTTGCTGCAAAGTCAAAAAACATTTGTGGTTTTGCATTAGAGGCTTTTTAGATGACACATTCAAAACCAAGCTTATATAGCATTACTCTAAAGGCCAAAATACAAGGTGAAAGTGTTGTAATCCTCACAATTTTCTAACAATGTTGTTCTCAAAGTCTGAAAAGTAATTTTCAAAAATTACTTAAAACTAAATCGGAAGTTACTCACTAATCAGTCACTTGTGATTTTTTTTGAGCTCGACTCAAAAGTTCTTGGTTTAGAAGCAAAAAAACAAAAGAAATCTCCTGTCTTAGAGCCTGAGAATCTGATGGCCTCCACCGAGAATCTCTAAATAGGCCAAGTGTTCATTTTCTCTAGAGTTTCTCTTGTCGTTCTGTGATGTGTCACATCAATTATAGAGCAATGAGAAGCGCATGCCTCCTGCACTTATTCCATCTGCTTCACTGGGCACTGGACAAGCAAGAGTATATGCAGCAAAGACCAGATACGTCTTACTGTACTTTGCAATTTACCCACTGTACCATTACAATAAAGCCTCAGGTCAATTTTTATATATCAGCCGCAGTCACAATTTGAATATCATTCAGCTATCACTACTACTAGAGAAGACTTTATGTTAATAGAATGATCCAGTGGTCCAATATCTACCATGTCAGTGTTATTTGCCTTTAAAGACTCACAGTCACATGGCCAATCCATTAAGCTGCTACTACTATATTGATTAGTGTCCATTCTATCTCATAGAAGATAACTATCATAATTTCAAAACATCTTGCTGGGAATCATGTGCATATTTCTGGCTGCAAGTGTTATTATTGGCTTTGGTAACTGATAAAACATTTAGTCATTGACATAGAAACATTGACAATAATAACAGTACCAAAGTTAAAAGTTAAAAGTGGCAGCATTATTAAACTGAAAAACCATTCACAGAGAAAGGCACACAAAAGGTCTATTTCTTTATTTCTTCTTATTTTTCATCACTTAGCGGGCTGATGCATGAAAATGGTACTTATTCTTTTTTTTTCTGTGACTGTCCCATTGATGGGGTACTTTTACACCCCCAGATCCACCTACATTCATGCATTACTGCAACGTGAATTCACTGTGACATTTTCACCATGACTGAGAACCTTAACTGAATATGACAAGTCACTGTTTGATGACACGGATATTATCAAGTGGGTTGATCATTCTCATGCGGTAATCTTCATCATCTATGACAGACACTGACCTCGAGTCCCCTAAAACCAGCCAGCAAAGCCCGCTATTACAGCGACTTTGCAGGTCCAGGGAAGAAACACTTTCCGTATAATTGCCACATGTCACCATCAGCTGTGCAGCGACTCAAGTAAAGGAGACCACAACGATTATTTCGCTTGTTCTCACAGACAGCGGTGCTCGAGATAGAAAACTAAGCATTACATTAAGGTTTCGCATATTTCAAACCTGGAGTGTTCGTGGATGAAGCGATTCGGAGCTCTCCTGTAGTGCGAGAGGATACAAGAGTACCGACAACCTCAGATTTTGCATCGCAGCATCCATGCTCTATAACCTGAACAGAATGGTGGCTCGTGAACCCCCTCCTCACACCCGCCGGTATGACATTAAGATGATGACAGCAGCATCAGGGCAACCGGCAACATCCTCGCTATCATATGCAAATGTCTCCGATCAGATTTTTCTCCATCCTCGCACATATGCGCATGAGAACTGCTGACAGTCAGAGGGCAGGTCCTGTCTGGACCAGCCTCCCCTTACCTGGCAATCGTGCGAGATAATGGCTGCTGTCACCGTAGCTGACAGGCGGCGAAGTGTAGTTTCTGCAGTATTCTGCACTCTGGTAGTACGCGGCATCCCCGCTCTTAAGCTGCAGCGCCATCATCGCAGGAACATCCCTCTGCCAACTTCTCCTCTCCAAAAAACCGGGCAGCCAGGCAGGATGACAGTCCCTACCAACGCTCAGACGCCGCGGCTCTCACCGGAGGGGTGCCCGAGAGAGGAGAGTGGAAATTCAGAAGGCGACACCAAGGGAGAAAACGTGCTAATCCTTGACTTACATGCCAGATGAGCGGGTGTTTTCACATTAAACATCAGCAACGATGTTCTTATTCTCTAAACTAGATTTTAATGACATAAACCCAGCCTGGATTCCCCTAACCTCCCCTCTCCTTCTTGGTACAGTCCATTTCCGATGCCACTGCTGCTTCTCTGCTCCTTAACATGGGTGGCAATCAAGACACATCGTATAACTATGTTACACCTCTGTCATACAATCAGATCACCCCTGCTGGCAGAGAAAACAGCCACACTAACTCTGGCATTAAAAATGCGAATAAGATGTACAAATAAAACATAAACAATTATTAGTTTTATTAATAATTATTATAATGGCAATAATAGTGTTTTGGTTGTTTGTTTTATGTTTGTTTTTAATGTCAACAATCATACTATCATCGCTTTCTCTCTCTCTCCACATATATATATATA